TTGCTTTTTTTCTAATAGCTGATCTTTTGATTTGTTGATGAGTTCAGTTTTGTGCTCTATCTGGGTTGGAACTGTGTATTGTAAAAAGGAATATTTACTTTTTATCTTATCTTTTCATCTTCAGTGTTTTATGATCAATTAATTTTAACAGGTAACGACTAAAATTTCTGAAAATCATTCAGTAGATTGTTTTGAACAATAAATGCCAAGGCCAAATCATTAGAGATAACTTGCCTAAACTGAGTAATTACCACTTCCAATAGTTGCTATCAGTACTTGCATGTACTATTTCGCATGATTGCAAATGTACAGCCTATTTTATTTTTTTTTCAAAACATAAAGATACATTTACTGCTATTTTTTAAAGATAATTATAACAAAAGAAAAAAAATTTAATTAAATAAATGTCGTTCTTTCACAGTTTTTACCTTTCCTCTTTGCTGGAATGTTGACACTTTGCCTGATTCTAGTTTTATCATTTGCATTAATAGCATCCTCAATACTTAATACCGGCTTTGTTTTCGAAGATTCTTTATATTTAATTTGAACCAATTTTGCAGCTTCAATCGCTAAATTATGCGTCTCCGCGACAATTACACCGACAGGTTGGCCGGCATACGAAACATCCTTGTCAGCGAACAGTAACTCGTCCTCTGGCAATGACATCATCCCGTTAACAGCCGAAATACACAGATTTTCTCCTGGTATGTCATCGGCTTTGAAAAAATCCACTACACCCTTCATGTGAAGAGCCTGTTTAGCATCTATCCCACTGATGTAACCTTTAGCGATATTTGTGACGACAAAAGCACAAAACACTTCTCTAGGAAATGGTAGCAGATCATCACAATATTGGGCTTTGCCTGATGTCTGTGCAATAGATTCTAACTTTGGCATAGGCTTAGTCACTGGCCATATGTCTACATTCGTTTCGTAGAATTGGTGACCTAGGAAGATTATATTTCTTCATATACACAATTTCGTTAATCAATAATTAGAATACACTAAAAGCTTTTGTATACATATATTAATTTATTCATGCAATATATAGAGAAGAGAATTTTTAATTGAGCTCGAAACTTTTGTTTACTTTATTAAAGCAATTTTTTAGAAAACAATAAGTATCGAAAATTGGACATACAATGTTTTTTTGCAACTTAAACATATCTTAAAGTCATTTTATGTGACAATTTTGTACTATATTTTGTACGGGATAATTCTTAATAAAACTGTTCCGTTTAATTAAAAAAATTTAGCTTGAATGCAATCAATTATTTTTCTTAATTTAATTAAAATTTAATAAAATTTGTTTGGTATATCCCAGTGACAATACTTATTAAATTAAAAAAAATATTTCTTCTAAAATATTTATTAAAAACAGCAAGATCTATAAAAAATATTTTTAATAAAAATGAGAAAGCATAGCTTGTTGCTCCAGGAATAAATTAAGGTATCTGTAAGTAAAAATGTTTATGTGAATCTCCATGGGTGCTCATTTAATAAATATTATAATATTTAATATATTTGTTATAAAATAGATTGTAATTCCCAAATATTGGAATGTACATTTTAGCAAAGTTAATTGCAAATCTATCCAAACTGTATTTGAATTTGCTTTTTTCTACATATAGTACTTGATCTCCATACTATTGAAATCTCAATCCTCGAATTGAAATATTTGCAGTTAACATCATTTATATGTATATTTCAATTATATATATTATCGCCTTATAAGAATTATATGTATTTATATTACGTGCATGAATTGCGAAAGTTTACATAAATTCTTATAATGGACATATACTTTTAAAAATAATCAGGATATTTTATATGTACATACCTATAGAGAGACCACGTTTTAATATGGTGCCTCCACTGAGATAAAAAGGAGGTATTTTCTCTGGTTTGATGCTTAATATACACCTGTAAAATAATCCTTCGGCTAGTGTCTTGCGAAATTCTGGTGAGTAATCCGGTAAAACATGATCAGGTTGCAGTTCGGCATGCAAGACATCCAAGGTTTGCTTCAGCAGGGAAGATGAAAAAATAATTTTATCCACCAACAATTTTTCTGTGTTAATTGCGTGCGTAAAATCTTTATTGATGCCACCGAAAATAATGTTAGGCTGCTCCAACACCTTTTTAAAAAATATTATAAATATAAACAAATAATACTTGAAGAAAATTATAATATGAATAAGTAGTTATAATGATAACATAATACAATTTGTAAAGATTCTGTTACTTTGTCATCGGCATCGAGTTTGAAGAGGAAGCCGGCGTTGACGTGAGCGCGAGCATTCTGAGCTCTAGGCATGACCTTATAGAATCTGTATATGTGCTGGTCAGTAAGCTGTGGTAACACAACGCTATAAATAACTTTATGGTGCATGTTGAGATTAAAAAATTCCGACAAATATATACTTTGCTTATCAGAGGGACTTTTCAAGATGTGTACCTCAGTACCGAGAGTCTCTAATATCAAAAACAAATCGGATGGGAACTCTTTGTGCTCGTATTTTAACATTAAATTCCCTGCTATGGTGGCAATATTTCGTACGGGAACATTTGCTATCATCTCTATATGATCGACCAATTGTTCTAGATATTTAAATCCAGTTTCCGTTGAATATTTTTGGAATGTCTGTAGTGCCGTGGTAAGGGTTACATTTCCTCCTAGTACCAAAGTCGAATCAGTTTTGGTAATGTTACTCATGTCTGGAATGTTGTTTATATCAATGTATATATCTTTCTTGCTCGAACGATAAACACCTGCAAAATTTAATTTCAAAATCATACGCATACGTGAAGTCTTACTTTTCAAATTTAGTTGAATATTAAAATATTAATATAAATTTTGAATTTAACATTGTAGGACACCTTTAGAATAATATAAATTTTTGTATTTTTAAAATCTTGGTAAATTTCTATGTCGTGACAGATCATTAATGCGAATTATTATCAAATTATGTTGAAATATAAGAGTAACGTAATAATAGAATCTAATTGTGGATTCTTTAATTCAAAAGATTTTGTGAGGTAAATATGATTATTTTTATCATATCAGGGAATTTGCTTCTTTACGGTACAATATTATTTTTATGGTAAAATAATATTGCACCATTAGTGCATCACAGATAAGAAAACTATCAGTAACTAAAACATGTATCTGAGACATCTTTTTGTTTACTTCATTATAAATTATAATGTTTATTAAAATCAACTTATTTTAATGGGATACAATTTTTTATCTATTTATTATTTAAGATAACGATGTTTTAATAATGAATTTGTATCTGTATTATCTAACATAGAAATATTACCATTAGCAGTATTCCCTCCATTTAACATATACGTGGCATTTGCATTGTTTGTGAATATCGAAAAAAGATCCTCAATCGTATGAACTTTGTAGAAGATTGCATCCTCTAACTTTATTCTCAACATTGTGTTTACATGTTGCTTATCGTAGAGTATAGGTACATATGGCATTTCGGATATCGGGCAAGGTTTAATATCGTATAGTTCCTACAAAGAGTATTTTGCCATATTTGAAACAGAATGAAAACGATTTAAAAAGAGTTATTAATATAAAAATATTTAAACAGTTCTTATTTTTCTAATAACAAAATCAAAATACTCAGAACAAAATATAATTAAAAACAAAATATCAAAATGAAGATTGATTTTTTGAAATAAAGAAGAAATTTTATACACCTCAATGTCTTGAATGTCTTTCATCATTGATGGAGATGCATCTGTGACAAATACCCTGAACGCATCAATAATTGCACGATAACCGGTGCATCGACAAATGTTGCCACCAAATGAATTTTCGATTTGCTCTGCAGATAAACTTTCCTCAAACCCAAGACTATGATTTACAAACAACAAACTCATTAACAAAGAGTTCTTGCTTTTTAATAAACGGTTGAATCATAAAATCCCCATTAGTATACATTTGTACTTAAGGAGTTAAACCACTTTGAAATTTTGAAAAGATAAAAAAAAATTTTTTTGCTTGAATGACAGTTTATACATGTGAAAATATAACCCCACTATTTAGAGAATGATGACTTTGACGTATTTACAACAATGATAAAGTTGATTCTTTGAAGTGCGTCCTCACATTATCGGCGCACATCGGAAAACTTTAAACGCGTTTTTTTCAAAATAACATTTTTCAAATACATTGTAACTTTATATTTATTCAATTCACTTGAATTTTGCAGAAAGTCTTCGTAGCGACTTTGTGTGATTAGTTAAAAACTATTATTGTTGTTAACATTTCGTTCAAAATTTTTTAGCAAAAAGTGACACTTTTTTTTTAATGTTCACCATTTTTATAATATACAAAAGCATATTTCTGAAAATCCCTACGTACTTCTTTAGTAAATGTCATGTAGAGAAAATAAAAATTCTTGATTTTTACTTGATCACTTTCACAAAAGAAACTTTTCAAAAATAGTTTATTTTTTCATGGTCTAAAGTGGTGTAGCCCCTTAATTGGAATTATTTTTACTTGAACTATACATAGCAGTACTATTTTTATACATAATTTTAATTTGTTTGTTTATTATCAGACAGTTATAATTAAAGGAATTCAATTATTAATATTTTTATGTATATTAATTTTTCTTAATAGTACTTTTTGGAAAGCGACATTTGTTTTAACGCTAAATAATTCGGAAAAACATTTATCACAAAGGAAGAAGAATAATTTGTCAAACATTCAACATTTTTTTTAAACATTATCTATTAATTAATAAATTTTAGTAAAACGTACCTATACATATTCATTACCATGCCAGGTGAGCAATAACCGCATTGCGAGCCATTTTTGTCAGCAAGAACAGCTTGAATCTTATGGTAACCCTCTCTTTTGGTACCTATACCTTCAATCGTGTAAATATTCCATCTGCGACATTATATGGTACGAAATATTAATTAACATTTATATGTGCTCAGTATACTCAGGAATTAAAGTATTTCAATAAGAAACAAAATAAATAAACATGAAGAAAAGAAAGATTTTAACAAATTGATTAAAGATAAGAGAAAGAGCCAATAATTTTTTTTAACGTTTCGAATAATTATTTGCTTGTGTGTGTGTGTGTGTGTTTGTGTGTGTGTGTGTGTGTGTGTGTGTGTCGTGTGCCAAAGAAGAAATTTCCGCTATCGCGCATAGTGTCATTACACAAATAAGTAATAATCAGAGAAATCACTTTTTTTTAAATAATCAATTTCTTTTTAATACACATCACACTTTTTAATACATATATACATACCCATTGCAGATCCGTACCGGTACAAGACATGAATTCACAGCTATCGTTTTGTCCTTGAATATTACACATACAATGCAGGCACCGCAACCACCCTCGTGACACATCGCCTTTGTGCCTCGAAAACCAGCATATTCGCGAATATAGAGAAGGAGGGACGTTCTAACAGGAATGCTACCACCGGATACTAGAAGCAATTTTGTAATTATATAATCAATGTGTCATACTATTTAGCATACATATTTATCGTCTAATTATATGAAACTCATTTAATTAAATGTCAAATTTTATACTTTCTGTATAATTCTTCGTATATGACAAATTCTTGAACTTAATGAGATGGATTTTGTCAATAATTAATACGTTGAGAATGGCGAATAAGAGTCAATCTAAATCTGATAATATATTCTAATATTCTATATTGCGAAGAATATCACGTAATGTTTGGCGTTTGTCACTATACAGTAAATAAATATTATATATAGCTTCTGATTAGATTTTTATAATATATTTTGGATTTCTTTGTGTACTATTTTATATTACTTAGCACTTTAATAACATAATTATTATAATCGAAAATTCTCATTTCTTTAATATCACATTTAATGCAACGAATACATACCCGTATATTGTTTTCCGTTAATTGTAAATTGAATAATGTTGTTGCTGGAACTAAACATATATCAGATTAGATCACATTTTAATGTTATCTTTAGTGAAGAAGGTATTGCTGGTATTTTGTGGGAATTATGTTCTAAATTATTTACATTGAATTGTAAAAATATAAATAGACAAAGAATATTTTAAAACATCCGTGTTAAAATAATAAATATTGAATCTTTTAGAATTAATATTAGTATCAAATTCATTTAACAATGTAAAAAGGCCTAAATATTTGAAAAGAGATTAAAATGTTAAAAATAGAAAAACGAGCCGAGAGCAAAGTCATGATGGTGAATTGTTTAACAGCAAATAAAGTTTATTATAACATACCTTTTGATTACCGATATCTCAATCAGGTCATTCTCAATATTAACGCGTTCATAATTTTCAATATAATTATTTTTATTAATAACAAAAATTTATTTTAACTATTTATAACGCATAGTTTTAATGTCCCATAAATTTTTTCAAAAACTTACACTTTTGCCGTTTCCATTTTTACTCGTTGTTCGTGTCAGATTATGACTAACTTTTCCTTGTCTAAAGATACGGCGAATTTATAGGAACACTCTCTGTAAGGCACTATAGGAACGTTACCTAAAGTTCAGCAGAATTTTGATTGTTAGATATTACAATCTTTATTGGCTAATAATAATTATCCAGCAGTGCTAGACTGTACGTAGAAATATCGTTATGAAGTGTATGTTTGTGCAAATTTTGTTTCACAACATTGCTTTAAGAGATCGTAAGCCGTAAACCATAAGCGGTTATGTGACATTAATTTCTGTCTTTAAATTATTTTTGCGAATTATTTAGATTTTAATCATTACAATTAATCGAATTTGATAAACTCAATTTTTACGACTTAATAGCTTAAGTTCTCTGTCCGATATCGTCATTTACAACTTACGGCATCTTAAAGCATTTAAGATTGCGAATCTAGATTTGTGTTTTTTAATACGATTACAAATCATACTGTTTAAAAATATACTCCCTTTTATGAGAACACAAGCATACGTATATTAATATAAAATGATGGAAATTTTCACACGTTTTATTAAAGCAAATTTTCAATAAAAGTTTATTTTACACAAAATCGATCAATAAATGGAGCACATTTTTAATTTAAATTCTTTATTTATTATTTGTATTACATATTATGTTTATATGTATTATTTATATTTTTTTAATATAAAGTTTCATATTGTCTTGATTGGACATAACGTTAGAAATGAACGTAAAAATAATTTAAAATATTCATATAAACATTTATTTTACATTATTTAATATTAAAGACCGTTAATGAAGAACATAACTAATACAAATACGAAGCCAATAACAATCTAGCTTAAATCTTTCAATCGCTTACATATAAACTACCGCGTACTCTCTATCACGAATTAAATTAAATTAATAATTAACTATTTATATACGCGTAGTCCCCCCAAATTGCGCGCCGAACAATCGTCGGTCTTGAAAGGCAACTCTAGTAATTTGAAAATACTATCAATCTGGAAAATTATTCTTATTGCGAAAAATATTATCTCGGCCGCTAGTCGAACACGGATACTTTGCTTTACGCGCAAATGTCCTAGCCAATTAGACTACCGAAGCCGTAGTAACATATATATTCCTCGCAATAACAGGTATATATGTGTAATGATAAACATTTTCTTTCAGGCGCGTAAATAAACAATATTCAATACTAAAGATCGTTAATGTAAGAACATAACTAATACAAATACGAAGCCTATAACAGTGTAGCTTGAATCTTTTAATTGCTTACATATAAACTACAGCGGTACTATCACGAATTAAATTAAATTAATAATTAACTAATATACGTAGTCCCCCCAAATTGCGCGCCGAACAATCGTTGGTCTTGAAACGCAACTCTAATAATCTGAAAATACTAAATCTGGAAAATTATTCTTATTGTGAAAAATTTTATTTTACAACGTAACTAATACGAATACAAAGCCTATAACAGTCTAGTTTGGATTTTTAGTTGCTTATATATAATTTTGCGTGAATTTATATAGTAATATGTGTAATCTTTGAGCTCCGAACGATTGTCGGTTTTGAAACGCAACTCTAGTAAACAACCGCTATATTATCACGAACTAAATTAATTAACAATTTAATAATTAATTGATGCTCTTTTGGCATCTTGTATCGATATAAAACTATATTAAAATCTGAAAATAATAATTCTTGTTATTGCGAAAAATATTACCTCGGCTAGGAGTTGAACCTGGATCGCTTGTTTTACGCGCAAGTGCGCCAATTAGACTACCGAAGCCTTAGCAATATTCCTCGCAATAATTGCTATATGTGAAATGACGAACGTTTTTATTTTACCTTCTTTTCGAGTTACAAACGTTTTTGTACGTGTTTCACTATAATTCTCTTGTTACAATTTCAACAATCATCATTACACATCCTTACGTTCACGCATCTCATTACTGACTGTCAGTATGTAAACACATCTTTCCTGACATAACGAACACGCAGTTCTGTTCACAATAATATACGGAGACGTTTTTATCTGGTTAACAATGTCAAATAGGATACATGGATATGTTATGCCTTGAATTTTTTCATAATGTACATCTATATATTATAAAACATACAATTATTATATACTTTGTATATATATTTTTATATACTGAAGATTTGTTTACTTCAAGCATACAGCAAATAAAAATGACTCTATTAAATGTAGAATTTATTTTAAATATCGGTTTAATGCAGCATATGTTGTTCTTATTTCTGCTTTTAAAACATGTCATATACTTGCTGATTTACTTGGAACCATGCGTTTTACGTAATACATATTCATAAAACAAACATCAGGAATTATATGTGAATGATTGTAAATTGTAAAATATTATCTTATTATTATATAATATTTTATAAATATGCGTATTCCAACTTAGAATGCTCTTACGGAATGATGCTTGAAATCTCGTTTCCTGTGACACCCGGGCGAGATAAAGTTCTTCATAACTTATAGATATTTGAAATTATTACAGATATTTAAAATTTTTTTTTTAATTTTTTTAAAATGATGCACATTGTGCACGAAATTATTAAATCTTTGTGTCTAGCAAAACTCAAACGTAAGTTAAATAATATAAATATTGTAGACAAACTCATTAAGATGTTTACATATACACATAATAGATATTGTTAGAATGATTTTTTTGTATATTTACACGGAAAGAAATATTGTACAAATTTTTTTTTTTAATTTTATTGCTTTATTACATTATTTTTTAAATTTTATATTACATTTTTACCGTATATATAAACAATATATTAACATTTACATTTATGTTATACATTACAATGATATTTTTTGAATATTTTAATGTTCCATTTAATTGAATAACTCATTAATCCTACAGCTATTTTTTGATTTATGCAGTATTGCTGTTATTAAATTTTGCGGATAAGAAAGCAGGCCACACTCTTAATTAATTAACGCAAGATTTTTTTACATAGTTCACACTTCTAATGACAAAATATTTATAATTTTTGTATACACAAATTATTATAGCTATAAAATTAAAAGCAAAAGAGAAAGCATATTATTATATAGATACTACCATAAAGATAAGTATTACGGTAAACTCTATTTGCAAATATATATTTTTGTTCATAAATAAATTTTTTATTTTATATAAAAGCATTGTTTTTTATTCCCTCATTTTTGCAATAAATATAATTAAGTATAATAAATAATTTTTTTATATTGAATGATTAAGATCGGCTTAAAAATTGTATATAACAATTACAAATTGCAAGATTTAATTGTTAAAAAAAAGTCCCGGGATCAAAACCGAGACTCCGTGTGCAACAGCGGTGTCAGAAAATACGTTATCTTTATTTACTGGGGAATGACAGAATAGTGGGTTTTACGACTTCACTGTAACAAATGTTTTGTATTATATTATCTAATACGGATTTATCATTATCATTCATATTCGCTAATCTGACTGCAATCGGATCCTTATTCGCCACTATCGCAATGTGCTCCATCATATTCTCAATCATGGCTAATCCTTCCGTAAATCCTGATGCTCGACAAAACGTGTTTGATGGTGTACCGGTTATGACTTCATATCCTCTAATATTCCAATTATCAATTAAGTAGCAGCTACTATAATGACAAAACATTGTTTATGTTTTTTAATTAAAGAAGTAAAATCAATCGCAATAAATTGTTTTCAAATTTGATTTAAATAATTATTGAAATCTTCTTTGTCGAAATAAACTAAAATAATTTTTTTATTCACATTATTAATGTGACATGTTTTCGTTATGTTTAAATATTTTTCTAAATCTTGTTCAATATAAAATAAAAATAGTTTAATACAATATACGATATTTCTGTTTAAAATTTTGCCTCTCGGTTTTTACAATATTGTGTACATAAAATTTAATAGACAAATTGTAATAATTAGAAATGCGTTTTAGTATAATACATTACTGTATCATAAATTATCTAAGGGGGGAACCTGACTTAAAAATTCAAAATTTTTGAATTTTTAAATAAATCGGTAATAAAACTTATGAAAATATAGTTTCTGAAGTAACAAATCAAAATTCAGAGTTTTTCAATAAATCGATGAGTTTCTAAAAACGTTTTTAGAAAAATGTAACTAAACTAAATTGTTTTTTCATAAAGAAGTCGAAAATTTCTCGTAAAAATTGTATTTTTTCTTTAAACTTATACAATTTCCGTAATTCTGTCTTGGTCTTATTAGTTTTTTAGGATAAAATTTCATGAAGATTAATAAAAAATTTTGATTTTTTATTTTAGATAGGAATTAGATCCAATAGCCGTTACATAAAATAACAACTCCAGCTGCGCAGAGATATGAACATATTAAAATATAACAATATAAAATGACGTCCTTTTTAAATAAAGAATATATTTTTGTATTGTCTATAGATGTCACAAAACAACTCTAAAATTTAGTATTGATATTGTTTAATAGTTACTGAGAAAAAATTCGCGAAAGTCGTTGTCTTTTCGGCGTCTTATATCAGGTTGTCCCCTTAAATTTTTGTTTACTCTACATGTTATATTTCAATACTTTTGTAAGTAGTGAGCTATTATGCCAGAATGTGGTTCGTTAGGACTAGAACCACACTCGCTCCAGTGTTGCGAGTCGAGAGACTGTATAACTCCGTCATCGTTTACTTTAATCTCATATTCTTGACGCATAGGACATCTCTTGCCAATCGATAGCATATTGCTCTCCATCGTCATAATGAATCGTGCTGGACGATCCAGTAGATAACATGCCAATGCGCAAGCGCATGAAATTTGCGCGTTGCGTGAGATTTTCGATCCGTAAGAACCACCAAGTCGTCTTACATACACATTGATTCTAGAAAAATTAAATTCGCACACGTTATTGCTGCTAACTTTATTCTATTCAAACATAATCTTTTTACGGGCTTTCCAAATTAATATGCATAAAATCCAATAATTAAAGGCGAGTGAGAGAGCAGAGTTGTGTTGGTACGTATAGTAGTGTGTGTGTGTGTGTGTGTGTGTGTGTGTGTGTGTGTGTGTGTGTGTTGTGTGAAGGAGGTCCTAAAGTAGGAAGTTTATTTGTTGTTAATTAACTTAAGCTAGAATTACACAGCTCGTGGCTCGTCATGGCTCGCCATGGCTCGGCAGAGCTCTACGCGTTCTGAGACCGGGACGACATGCTATCGCGATCCATCGTTTTCGGAAATTAGCAGTAAGTTTCACGAGTCAAAGGTTCACGCGTCTTCTTATTGACTATCAGTAAACACTTTCTCTGGTCACATTGAACGTTGGTTTTATTCGCAATGGTATACAAAAATGTTTACAACTTATAAATAGTGTCAAATAAGACAGATAGATTTGTTGTGCCTTGAATTTATTTGTAAAAGTATTTTTAAATTTTATAAAACGTTCTACATATACTTTATATGTATTTTTATATACTTAACATATTTAAATTTATTTCTGGTAGGCAGTAATTAAAAATACAATAAGTAATAGAATTTACTTTAAATATCGATTTTTTAGCAAACGATTTTCATGTCTGATACCAAAGTACCATGTCATATTTGTTGATTAAACTAAGAGTACGTTCTGTAATACACAGTTTCAAGTTTGTCTGAAAACATTACAAATTATACATGGTGTTTGACAATTAAAACAACGACAGCATAACGGCAGCACGAACCAAACCGAGTATAAATGTTCTCTAACATTTTGCAATTTTTGCGATCCAACGAGCAAACATGAGTCTATGCGGAAATCTTTATTAATTGATATCGCATTACTTATTATCCGTGGGTAAACTGAATTAAGTCGAAAAATATTGTACTATTTTGCAATTTTTGCGATAGTTTATTCATTAGTGTGTATATTAGCAAACATTGCGATTAGGCTAACACAACCAAAATTGGCTGTAGCGGTCAATTAAAAACGTCATGTCATATTTTACCATCTAATTCGCTGCATCAATATTTATTTTTATTGTATAAATATAAAATAATTATTAGTGGGATTGCAAATTTTTTCTGTATTTTCTGTCAGACTACTTGTAGATTGTAACATAGATTCCAATATAAAAAAGTACGGATTCTTAATTAAAGATAACAGAAAAAATAATTCACAATCGAATTCAAATTGAGTTTGGTTATTGTTGGAACAAAAATGCGAAAGAAGAACATTATATGCGTTTTGTATCAAGAGACATAACAAGAGACTAAAAAAGCTTAATTTAAAACTCATTGATCTAGCTCACTTGCATGCGTAATGTATATTATTTAAATATGTACGGTAGCGTATTGTTAAAAAAGCTTAATGGAGAAAATTTACTCAAAACTTGTAGAAATGAGAAGACACATCTTAGCAATTTTAAAACTTAATTTAATTATTATAATTCCATAATTAACCATAACAGTTTTACATAAATATAAAACATATAAATTCATAAATTTTATCCTTTGTTTTACAAAATATTTGAATAACTTTATTTAGATAGAAATGAACCAACTAACTAAAGATAAAACTTATTTTAAATGCAGGATTACATGAGAATGCTTTCTATTTCTATTTTTTTTCTATCAACATTTGGTCTCTGCTAGTCAAACTAGTTAGAAGTATATTTTCGGTTGTACACGGTCCATCTACAAACATTACAAATGATACATGAATATAAATCGAAATATTATGGTAGTGTTCTAAAAGAAAAAATGTATACACATGTATAATAATCTATAAAAACGATTTGTAAAGAAAATTATGAAAATTTAAATTAATTATGTAGAATAATGTATATTTAGTTATTTTAATATAAAATTAAAAATTTCGAGTTATATACATCGTAAATCGTAATAATGCGAACAAGATATTATTCATATAATATAGCATTCAAAAAACGGTCTAGAGAATAAGAGACTATAAAATTTGAAAACACATTTCTTTTTAAATTGCCCATTCGATTCATTTTAAACAAAAAAGAGCGAAAGAAAAGATTACATTAGAAAAATATTTAAAAAACGTTTTTTAAATACAAGCATGACATTTAAGTAGAATATAATGGCAATTCAATAATTAGTAGTTGGTTCAAGGAATGTAAAAATTAATACATATTATCAAGTTCGTCTTGTATGTTGAATGTCAACAAAATGAATATGTATCTCTGGTTAAAACTTACCCAGTTGAAACCATAGATCCACATTTTCTGAATCTCTTCTAGCAGAATCCAATGCTGAGCGGATCGCTATCGGAATTACAAAACTCATACAAAGCGGTGGTTCATTGATTGCTGCAAAGATGTTTTCAAAATTAGTATTACTAATTCCAGAACATTAAAGAATTAAGACCTTCTTTATTTTAATATTTTTTTATATTGTCTATTTTATTTAAATTAAATAAATTATTGAAGCGCACGCTTGTAAAATTGGTATTACATTTGTCGTACGACAAAGATTTTGGGTTTATTCATTGATCATGAGATAAATAAATGCGGAAACTTCTCTTGTTTGTAGCCAATCAATACGCTTGAAATACTTTATTTAAAATAACAAATAGAATATAGCCTAAATTAATTAAATTCATGTTCATTTAATGCTTTTTCTAAAAGAAAAGCTTTTTCTATAACAAAATTATCAACTTTATGCAAATACGTATAATATATTCAAGTTTTTATTTTTTATAGTGAAAAGTAATTTGAATGGAAGAATTTTGGTCTTACTTTGTGAACCGTAGACACCATCTTTATTGATAGTTTTTTGACGTAAGTATACGCGGAAATCTTCAGGAATATCTTTTGCTCCTGGTGGCATATAATTCTACAACATTACAGATAATTTAATTATGAATAACAGAAATGAAGAATGGTCTCAATTATTATTGTAAAATAAAACATTAATAAATATATATAAGACTACGAGTCAAAGCTATATGTTATTGTTAATTACTTATTTAAAATGCAGATAAACAACACACAAATGTTTTGACTCCTGGATTATTATCAATATGACGATAAACATGATCGGAAACACTACCGCGTCTCCTGATATTAAAATTTAATAATTATAAAATTACGATTTGTGTTGGACCGTCGATTTGAAAAACAATTGATTTCTTTTTTAATAATAATAATTATTATTATTCTGATTTAGTTCCATAACCTTTTGTATTGCAAAAATATAGTTTTGTAAAAATAGTTGTCTAGATACAGCGTATTAGTCAGGATTCGTATTAGCTTTTTAGAAATGTAATCTTAACTTAATATTGGTTTAATTACTACACATTTAAATATTTTCACAAGAAAAAATATCACAGGCCCACAAAAAAAAAGTTTTTTTGTGGGCCTGTGTATTTTGAATTATATTAGGATAATAATTACAAAGTATTTAACTTTAATATTGTCGCATTGATAATGACCAGATATGGATCGAAACATTTGTGTTGTTTATCTGAATTTTAACTAAATAATTAACAATAACATCTAACGTTGGCTCATAGCCTATCCACATATTCATTACTGTTTTATTTTAACTCTATATACTTTGGACCATCTCGGTAAAGAGAAGTAGTCTTGACGTATTATGAGAATCGAAATTTGACAAAAGTTAATTTACCCATGATCTGTTATTTATTAATAATCCTGTTTCAGTATCATACACCAGATTCTCCGAAGTCCAGTATCCCATTCCCATCACGAAAGCCCCTTGCACCTGACCGACATCGATTTCTGGATTCAAGCTTTGACCAGCATCGACCATCAAATCAACTCTCCTAATAATATGCTGACCGGTCAGCACATCGATTTCTATTTCGGCAATGGTAACACCGTAAACAGGGTAAGGCTTCAACGTATCTTCCATTGACCCGCTGAGGGTCAAGCTGCCAAGGTAAATGGAATGTATTATATAATAATTAGTTATGCGTATAGCATTTTAAGAAATGTTATCTCACTCTAAAAATACACAGAGTTTAAATCTATTTATCTATTTAAATAATTCTGAAAATACATGATAACTACGCTGCATATCATAATGATAACAAAAAGGGCTAATAAATCGCACTTTTTTACAGCTTATTGTAGCTTGTTTCATGCTAAAGATAAGGAGTGTTTTTTCTTGACGGATGTAAAATGTTTCTGAAAATTTGTTAAAGTGCTTTACAACTTTGTGTGATAGAATGTGTCAATTTAAGAAACTGTGTGACATATAGTATAGTATATGATCGATGTATCAAATACGATTTATTTAGTTCACCTATAACGTGTGTATAAATCAATGCCTTCTTGAAACGCTTTAAAGATGACATCCTGCCACTTCGGATTTTCCATTTTTTTTTTAATTGGCTCGAGTCTCTTTAAAATTTGTGTGCAAACTTGAATCGTTGCCTGAAAAAAATGGTGCAATAATCGGTACCATCATCAAATTCTTTGTTATACATGTATATGTAATGTATGACATCGCGTTTTCTACAGTGAAGGAGACATTGATTTCTTACGTATCCACAGGTATCTATAGTAACGTTGTGTCCTGTTTCTGACATGTTTGGTGCCGCTGAATTGTTGCTTTGTTTAACGGAAATTAATTCGATATCAATTCCTAGTGTATGAGCTGCTATTTGTGCGATCTAGTATACAGAAATAATTTTTATATTGGCAGATATTTGAAACATTTTACATATTAAATTTAATCTTTTGCTATTTAAAATACAGGAAATATGTGTATCTAGAAATAGAAGTGATTAAAATCATAGAAATCTCTCATATCACAATTTTTTATTTTAATTTTTTTAAATAGAAAACTTGAAAGTGAAGGATTTTTTAATACAATTTTCCATTATTTTCCATTATTGATAATTGAATGAAAAGCATGACACAACTCATTTGAATAATTCACTGCATTTTCATACCTTCGTATTTATGCCTTGATTAATTTCAATTCCGCTAAGTGTCACGCATACCGAACCGTCGCGAGCGCAGACCGATAATATTGTATTGAATTGTCCTACATATGTTGTCCAATACTTCATCGGTACCATTGCAATTCCCTTTTTTTTCCAGCGATTGTCTCTGTTGTACTCCCAAATAGAGATCTGTCTCTTTATGTAGTAGGTCATATTCAACATCTTTTGTATTATATTATCTAATACGGATTTATCATTATCATTCATATTCGCTAATCTGACTGCAATCGGATCCTTATTCGCCACTATCGCAATGTGCTCCATCATATTCTCAATCATGGCTAATCCTTCCGTAAATCCTGATGCTCGACAAAACGTGTTTGATGGTGTACCGGTTATGACTTCATATCCTCTAATATTCCAATTATCAATTAAGTAGCAGCTACTATAATGACAAAACATTGTTTATGTTTTTTAATTAAAGAAGTAAAATCAATCGCAATAAATTGTTTTCAAATTTGATTTAAATAATTATTGAAATCTTCTTTGTCGAAATAAACTAAAATAATTTTTTTATTCACATTATTAATGTGACATGTTTTCGTTATGTTTAAATATTTTTCTAAATCTTGTTCAATATAAAATAAAAATAGTTTAATACAATATACGATATTTCTGTTTAAAATTTTGCCTCTCGGTTTTTACAATATTGTGTACATAAAATCTAATAGACAAATTGTAATAATTAGAAATGCGTTTTGGTATAATACATTACTGTGTCATAAAAATTATCTAAGGGGGGAACCTGACTTAAAAATTCAAAATTTTTGAATTTTGAAATAAATCGGTAATAAAACTTATGAAAATATAGTTTCTGAAGTAACAAATCAAAATTCAAAGTATTTCGATAAATCGATGAGTTTCTAAAAACGTTTTTAGAAAAATGTAACTAAACTAAATTGTTTTTTCATAAAGAAGTCGAAAATTTCTCGTAAAAATTGTATTTTTTCTTTAAACTTATACAATTTCCGTAATTCTGTCTTGGTCTTTTTAGTTTTTTAGGATAAAATTTCTTGAAGATTAATAAAAAATTTTGATTTTTTATTTCAGATAGGAATTAGATCCAATAGCCGTTACATAAAATAACAACTCCAGCTGCGCAGAGATATGAACATATTAAAATATAACAATATAAAATGACGTCCTTTTTAAATAAAGAATATATTTTTGTATTGTCTATAGATGTCACAAAACAACTCTAAAATTTAGTATTGATATTGTTTAATAGTTACTGAGAAAAAATTCGCGAAAGTCGTTGTCTTTTCGGCGTCTTATATCAGGTTGTCCCCTTAAATTTTTGTTTACTCTACATGTTATATTTCAATACTTTTGTAAGTAGTGAGCTATTATGCCAGAATGTGGTTCGTTAGGACTAGAACCACACTCGCTCCAGTGTTGCGAGTCGAGAGACTGTATAACTCCGTCATCGTTTACTTTAATCTCATATTCTTGACGCATAGGACATCTCTTGCCAATCGATAGCATATTGCTCTCCATCGTCATAATGAATCGTGCTGGACGATCCAGTAGATAACATGCCAATGCGCAAGCGCATGAAATTTGCGCGTTGCGTGAGATTTTCGATCCGTAAGAACCACCAAGTCGTCTTACATACACATTGATTCTAGAAAAATTAAATTCGCACACGTTATTGCTGCTAACTTTATTCTATTCAAACATAATCTTTTTACGGGCTTTCCAAATTAATATGCATAAAATCCAATAATTAAAGGCGAGTGAGAGAGCAGAGTTGTGTTGGTACGTATAGTAGTGTGTGTGTGTGTGTGTGTGTTGTGTGAAGGAGGTCCTAAAGTAGGAAGTTTATTTGTTGTTAATTAACTTAAGCTAGAATTACACAGCTCGTGGCTCGTCATGGCTCGCCATGGCTCGGCAGAGCTCTACGCGTTCTGAGACCGGGACGACTTGCTATCGCGATCCATCGTTTTCGGAAATTAGCAGTAAGTTTCACGAGTCAAAGGTTTTTATAAGCCGACAGGAACGTTGCGCTGTTGAACTCATCAACGGTCGCATTCTGCAGAATGCTTAATTTTGCAAATGTAACGATTTCTTTTTGTTAACATAGAATTATTTCTCTAGATCTAAAATAGTAGTTTAATCAGTGCTAAAGATACTTTGAGCAATTGCAAAACATATATTCTGTTAAACGCAGTTCTTGCAAAGAGTAATATAAGTAAATTAAAGTGCATTATACGTTTTGATTTACGCATAAAACGCATGATGCATCATTTGTCCTAGTTATTTATCGAATAATAAGGAAGAATAAAAGAATACATCATACTCTTTATGCATCTCGAATCACACCTTGTACTATTTTTGCATTTTTAAATAGAAAACGAACAAACAAAGATAGCTAGTCTGTGCAGCTATATACATTATTTTACGTTTTTTACAACACTACTGTCGCACGGCGTGACAGTTTATTCTTTTCTTCATGCAGCCAAGGCATAAGCAGACGCGAGGTCTAGCGAATCTCTTTGACTCGTGACCGATAAGTTACCGATAATTTTCGGCGAGTCAACGAGCCACAGATCATGGATCGCGAACTATGGATTCCACAGCGTGCCGCGTGATCCTCAATATTGACTTTTTTAATATCAATTTTAAGAATGATCCTATGACAAACCTAGGCGAGCCAAAACGGATTACGAGCCATGCAAGATCACGGACCGTGTAACCATAGTTTTAAGAGAACATTGCAAAATTGCATCGAGGCTGCAGTACATCAAATATCAACAGATTAGTTTTTGTCTGTAACACGAGTTGTTTGTACTAAATGCAATGCTTGTATTACTGTAAGAGATCCACAAATTGAACAATATTAAACGAATAAATGAATATAATGTAAATCGCAAAAAAAAAAATAATTTTTCCTTTTTTGCGATCTTCTCCAAAACAAAACAAAAATTAGCATATCTCTATAGAAGATATTTTTTTCTTAGTTTATCGATCCTCAACACGCTACCAAAGATTGGTTATTTAAATTCCAAACACCTTATATAATATCATTCTTGGAATTTTACATAATTTGTAGTATAAATTATAATAAAACAATTGATATAATTATTTTAACGATGTAACTAATTCGACATTTATGGTAGTACACAAGGTTGACATGATTAGTGAGTTACCTGTTATGTTTAACATTAAGGCAAGTCGCGATCGATACTTGAATAAGATCCATCCATTGTGACGATGGATACACGTCAATACCGTCTTCCGTAGGAACGCATACGCAGGATTGAGTCTCCATGGAGTAGTGATATTGACCACCAGATCGAAAGGCTCCCTTTATTTCATGAACACCTTTTTCTGTAAAACAATAACAAATATTTCTCTTTTTTCATATATTATCTTTATTTTTAAGATAACCGTTCACTTTGGCGAAGTTTTATCTCTGTTGATGTCGCGAGGGCACCTTCCCAACCGCCCTTGACAAGTTTTTAAATGTAGCTCCTTATTACGAGAAGTCAAAAAAGTATGTGGACTGCAATTATAAGACACGTTTTGTTCTTTATGGAGAGATAGGCTGAGAGGAAAACCTTTTCCCATTGCAGAATATATATAGTACATTATACAGTGCGTAATAAATGTCCTGGAACAGCTGATTATCTCAGAAAGTTTTTATTAGTTTATTGGAAAAATAGTTTAAACCAAAGTTATATATATAGTTTAAAAAAATCTATTTATTTATGTTATCAATTTAACCGTGGGTGGCGTTTTCTATGTCAGATGAAGACCGATGATTTTCGATTCTTTATAGAAGTTGAAAGAATTCAAATGGAATGATATTCGTCTCGACATGTATCACTTAATATTAAATTCAAAATTTAAAATATTGTATAATAAAAGTTTGTTCTCAAATTTATGAACTAACATAACCGGAATATGTATAGAAATTTTAAATGAAATAAGTTCTCTATCGTGTTCTTCATAAATATGTTCTGAAGTATATGTTTAAATATATAACAACATCTCAAACATGAAATATAAAGTTTTAAAATATTCTACATGCTTATTTTAATAGATTTTATGAATTATGAGGTTCTATTAAACCTATTATTTTTAACTTTATGTAGAAAAGAATCTAGTTTAAATGTTTTTTACTCTGATGATGACCCGATGAGAGTAGAAAAGTTATGTTTGTAATTTTTGTAAATTATATTTTGTTTATATTAAATAGCACATCCTAGCCCAGACTTGTAGCCTATCTAATTTCTATTGTTTTTAATTATTGAGTCTCATTATTATTAATAATTGTAAGAATTAAAATTAATTAAAAAATTGTATATAAATTTAAGAATTGTTATGTCACTCTAAAAGAGATCATGAAAAGAGCTTAATAAGTATACGGTCGGTCACATAGTGTTGCTTTTTTTCTAATAGCTGATCTTTTGATTTGTTGATGAGTTCAGTTTTGTGCTCTATCTGAGTTGGAACTGTGTATTGTAAAAAGGAATATTTACTTTTTATCTTATCTTTTTATCTTCAGTGTTTTATGATTAATTAATTTTAACAGGTAACGACTAAAATTTCTGAAAATCATTCAGTAGATTGTTTTGGACAATAAATGCCAAGGCCAAATCATTAGAGATAACTTGCCTAAACTGAGTAATTACCACTTCCAATAGTTGCTATCAGTACTTGCATGTACTATTTCACATGATTGCAAATGTACAGCCTATTTTATTCTTTTTTCAAAACATAAAGATACATTTACTGCTATTTTTTAAAGATAATTATAACAAAAGAAAACAATTTAATTAAATAAATGTCGTTCTTTCACAGTTTTTACCTTTCCTCTTTGCTGGAATGTTGACACATTGCCTGATTCTAGTTTTATCATTTGCATTAATAGCATCCTCAATACTTAATACCGGCTTTGTTTTCGAAGATTCTTTATATTTAATTTGAACCAATTTTGCAGCTTCAATCGCTAAATTATGCGTCTCCGCGACAATTACACCGACAGGTTGGCCGGCATACGAAACATCCTTGTCAGCGAACAGTAACTCGTCCTCTGGCAATGACATCATCCCGTTAACAGCCGAAATACACAGATTTTCTCCTGGTATGTCATCGACTTTGAAAAAATCCACTACACCCTTCATGTGAAGAGCCTGTTTAGCATCTATCCCACTGATGTAACCTTTAGCGATATTTGTGACGACAAAAGCACAAAACACTTCTCCAGGAAATGTTGGCAGATCATCACAATATTGGGCTTCGCCTGATGTCAGTGCAATAGATTCTAATTTTGGCATAGGTTTAGTCACTGGCCATATGTCTACATTCGTTTCGTAGAATTTTTGACCTAGGAAGATTATATTTCTTCGTATAATCAATTTTGCATAATTAGAATACATTAAAACTTATGTATACATAAATTAATTTATTCATGCAATATATAGAGAGGAGAATTTTTAGTTGAGCTCGAAACTTTTGTTTACTTTATTAAAGCAATTTCTCAGAAAACAATAAGTATGTAAAATTGGACATATAATGTTTTTTTGCAACTTAAACATGTCTTAAAGTCATTTTATGTGACAATTTTGTACTATATTTTGTACGGGATCATTCTTAATAAAACTGTTCCGTTTAATCCAAAAAATTTAGTTTGAATGCAATCAATCATTTTCTTAATTTAATTAACATTTGATAAAATTTGTTTGGACTGTCCCAGTGACAATACTTATTAAAATTAAAAAAATATTTTTTCTAAAATATTTATTAAAATCATCAAGATCATTAAAAAATATTTTTAATAAAAATGGAAAAGCATAGCTTGTTGCTCCAGGAATAAATTAAGATATCTGTACGTAAAAATGTTTATGTGTATCTCCATGTGTGTTTGTTTAATAAATATTATAATATATACATATATATTTAATATTTTTGTAATAAAATAAATTGTAATTCCCAAATATTGGAATGTTTAGCAATGTTAATTACAAATCTATCCAATCTGCATTTGAATTTGCTTCTTTATATAGTACTTGATCTCCATACTATTGAAATCTTAAATCTCGAATTGAAATGTTTGCAGTTAACGTCTTTTATGTATGTACATTTCAATTATATAAATCATCGTCTTATAAGAATTATATTTATATTACGTGCATGAATTGCGAAAGTTTATATAAATTCTTATAATGGACATATATCTTTAAAAATATTTATGATATTTTATATGTACATACCTGTAGATAGATCACGTTCTAATAAGGTGCCTCCACTGAGATAAAAAGGAGGTATTTTCTCTGGTTTGATGCTTAATATACACCTATAAAATAATCCTTCGGCTAGTGTCTTGCGAAATTTTGGTGAGTAATCCGGTAAAACATGATCAGGTTGCAGCTCGGCATGCAAGACATCCAAGGCTTGCTTCAGCAGGGAACATGAAAAAATAATCTTATCCACCAACAATTTTTCTGTGTTAATTGCGTGCGTAAAATCTTTATTGATGCCACCGAAAATAATGTTAGGCTGCTCCAACACCTTTTTGAAAAATATTATAAATGCAAACAAATAATATTTGAAGAAAATTACAATATGAATAAGTAGTTAATGATAACATAATATAAAAATTTGTAAAGATTCTGTTACTTTGTCGTCGGCATCGAGTTTGAACAGGAAGCCAGCGTTGACGTGAGTGCGAGCATTTTGGGCTCTAGGCATGACTTTATAAAATCTGTATATATACTGGTCAGTAAGCTGTGGTAATACAACGCTGTAAATTACTTTATGGTGCATGTCAAGATTCAAAAATTCAGGCAGATATACTCTTAGCTTCTGAGAGGGACTTTTCATGATATATAATTCAGTACAGACAGTCTGTAATATCAAAAAGAAATCGGATGGGAACTCTCTGTGCTCGTATTTTAACATTATATTCCCTGCTATGGTGCCAATATTTCGTACGGGAACATTTGCTATCATCTCCATATGCTCGGCCAATTGTTCCAGATATTTAAATCCGGTTTCTGTTGAATATTTTTGGAATGCCTGTAGTGCCGTGGTAAGAGTTACATTTCCTCCTAGTACCAAAGTCGAATCAGTTTTTGTAATGTTATTCATTTTTGGAATGTTGTTTATATCAATGTATATATCTTTCTTGGTTGAACGATAAACACCTGCAAAATTTAATTTCAAAATCATATACGCGCATACGTGAAGTTTTACTTTTCAAATTTAGTTGAATGTAAGTATTAATATATAAATGTTGAATTTAACATTGTAGGATACTTTAGAATAATATAAATTTTTGTATTTTTAAAGGCTTGGTAAATTTCTATGTCGTGACAGATTATTAATGCGAATAATTATCAAAATTATATTTAAACACATTACACTTAATTGTTGAAATATAAGAGTAATGATATAATAGAATCTAAATGTGGATTCTTTAATTCAAAAGATTTTGTGAGTTAAATATGATTATTTTTATCATATCAGGCAATTTGCTTCTTTACAAAACAATATTGTTTTTATGAGAAAATAATATTGCACCATTAGTACATCACAGATAAGAAAACTATCCGTAACTAAAACATGTATCTGAGACATCTTTTGTTTACTTTATTATAAATTACAATGTTGATTACAATCAACTTATTTTAATGGGGGACACAATTTTTTATTATTCAAATGAACGGGAATATATATTAAATTTGTATCTGAATTGTTTAACATAGAAAAATTACCATTAGCAGTGTTCCCTCCATTTAACATATACGTGGCATTTGCATTGTTTGTAAATATCGAAAAAAGATCCTCAATCGTATAAACTTTGTAGAAGATTGCATCCTCTAACTTTATTCTCAACATTGTGTTTACATGTTGCTTATCGTAGAGTATAGGTACATATGGCATTTCGGATATCGGGCAAGGTTTAATATCGTATAGTTCCTACAAAGAGTATTTTGCCATATTTGAAACAGAATGAAAACGATTTAAAAAGAGTTATTAATATAAAAATATTTAAACAGTTCTTATTTTTCTAATAACAAAATCAAAATACTCAGAACAAAATATAATTAAAAACAAAATATCAAAATGAAGATTGATTTTTTGAAATAAAGAAGAAATTTTATACACCTCAATGTCTTGAATGTCTTTCATCATTGATGGAGATGCATCTGTGACAAATACCCTGAATGCATCAATAATTGCACGATAACCGGTGCATCGACAAATGTTGCCACCAAATGAATTTTCGATTTGCTCTGCAGATAAACTTTCCTCAAACCCAAGACTATGATTTACAAACAACAAACTCATTAACAAAGAGTTCTTGCTTTTTAATAAACGGTTGAATCATAAAATCCCCATTAGTATACATTTGTACTTAAGGAGTTAAACCACTTTGAAATTTTGAAAAAAAAATTTTTTGCTTGAATGACAGTTTATACATGTGAAAATATAACCCCACTATTTAGAGAATGATGAATTTGACGTATTTACAACAGTGATACAGTTGATTCTTTGAAGTGCGTCCTCACATTATCGGCGCACATCGGAAAACTTTAAACGCGTTTTTTTCAAAATGACATTTTTCAAATCGGTATACATTGTAACTTTATATTTATTCAACTTGAATTTTGCAGAAAGTCTTCGTAGCGACTTTGTGTGATTAGTTAAAAACTATTATTGTTGTTAACATTTCGTTCATAATTTTTTAAAAAAAAGTGACACTTTTCTTTTAATGTTCACCATTTTTATATTATACAAAAGCGTATTTCTGAAAATCCCTACGTACTTCTTTAGTAAATGTCATGTAGTGAAAATAAAAATTCTTGATTTTTACTTGATCACTTTCACAAAACAAATTTTCAAAAATAGTTTATTTTTTCATTGTCTAACCCCTTTCATGATCTAACCTCATGGTGTAGCCCCTTAATTGGAATTATTTTTACTTGAACTATACATAGTAGTACAATTTTTAATTTGTTTGTATATTATCAGACAGTTATAATTAATGGAATTCAATTATTAATATATTTTTATGTATATTAAATTTTCGTAATAGTACTTTTTTGCATGAGACATTTGTTTTAACGCTAAATAATTGAGGAAAACTTTTATCACAAAGGAAGGAGAGTAATTTGTCAAAAATTCAACATCTTTTTTTAACAATATCCATAAATTAATTATTAAATTTTAGTAACCGTACCTATACATATTCATTACCATGCCAGGTGAGCAATATCCACATTGCGAGCCATTTTTGTAAGCAAGAATAGCTTGAATCTTATGATAACCATCTCTTTTGTTACCTATACCTTCAATCGTGTAAATATTCCATCTGCGACATTATATGGTACGAAATATTAATTAACATTTATATGTTCTCAGTATCTGAGGATTTAAAGAATTGGGTAAGAAACAAAATAAATAAAAATGAAAAAAGGAAAGATTTTAACGTTTCAAATAATTATTTGCGTGTGTGTGTTTGTCAAAGAAGGAATTTCCGCTATCGCGCATAGTGTCATTCCACAAATAAGTAATAATCAGAGAAATCACTTTTTTTTAAATAATCAATTTTTTTTTAATACACATCACACTTTTTAAAACATATACATACCCATTGCAGATCCGTACCGGTACAAGACATGAATTCACAGCTATCGTTTTGTCCTTGAATATTACACATACAATGCAGGCACCGCAACCACCCTCGTGACACATCGCCTTCGTGCCTCGAAAACCAGCATATTCGCGAATATAGAGAAGGAGGGACGTTCTAACAGGAACACTACCACCGGATACTAGAAGCAATTTTGTAATTATATAATCAATGTGTCATACTATTTAGCATACATATTTATCGTCTAATTATATGAAACTCATTTAATTAAACGTCTAATTTTATACTTTCTGTATAATTCTTCGTATAGGTATGACAAATTCTTGAACTTAATGAGATGGATTTTGTCACTATGTAGTAAATAAATGTTATAGCTTCTGATTAGATTTTTACAGGGTTGGCAACGTTACCTCATATAAATAACTATTTACCGTTACCGTTCTTTTTCCTGAAAAGTATTTCGTTACCGCTACTCGTTAATGATTTTCAAAAGTAACCCGTTACCGTTCCTACTAAAAAATATAACGAGTCGTTATTTTTTTCGTTACTTTTTTTATACTTATACAATATTATATGCAGATTTTTGCAGTAAATATAAAAAAATATAAGAGCTAGAGTTATATCTTCTAGTAGAAGAATAAAGGTCAAAAACTGAAATGTATGTATATATATAAATTCTCAAATAAATTATTTACAAAATCATTACTCACAAATTAAATAATGCAGAATATTGCGTCTTGCAAAGTTGTATCAACTGTCATTACATGATACGAAATATGTACTCGTATCGCAAAGTATAAACACATGCAAGCAGCAGAAAGCTACAATAAAGCAAAGAACCTAACTTACATAAAGTAACGTTAAAAGTAACTAGTAAAATTGTTACCATTACCTCAAAAATGTAATTGCGTTACCAAAAACATTACTTAGAAGAAAATATAACGCCGTTACCCATTCGTTACCGAAAAAAGTAACTTGTAACGGTAACGATGTTAGAAATAACACGTTACTTGCCAACCCCGGATTTTTATAATATATTTTAGATTCCATTGTGTTCTATTTTATATTACTTAGCACTTTAATAATATAATCGAAAATTCTCATTTCTTTAATATCACATTTAATGCAACGAATACATACCCGTATATTGTTTTCCGTTAATTGTAAATTGAATAATGTTGTTGCTGGAACTAAACATATATCAGATTAGATCACATTTTAATGTTATCTTTAGTGAAGAAGGTATTGCTGATATTTTGTGGGAATTGTGTTCTAAATTATTTACATTGAATCGTTAAAATATAAATAAATAAAGAATATTTTAAAACATCCGTATTAAAATAATAAATATTGAATCTTTTAGAATTAAAATATTTGTATCAAATTCATTTAACAATGTAAAAAGGCCTAAATATTTGAAAAGAGATTAAAATGTTAAAAATAGAAAAACGAGCCGAGAGCAAAGTCATGATGGTGAATTGTTTAACAGCAAATAAAGTTTATTATAACATACCTTTTGATTACCGATATCTCAATCAGGTCATTCTCAATATTAACGCGTTCATAATTTTCAATATAATTATTTTTATTAATAACAAAAATTTATTTTAACTATTTATAACGCATAGTTTTAATGTCCCATAAATTTTTTCAAAAACTTACACTTTTGCCGTTTCCATTTTTACTCGTTGTTCGTGTCAGATTATGACTAACTTTTCCTTGTCTAAAGATACGGCGAATTTATAGGAACACTCTCTGTAAGACACTGTAGAGTTCAGCAGAGTTTTGATTGTTACATATTACAATTTTTTATTAGCTGTTATTAATTATCCAGCAGTGCTAGACTGTACGTAGAAATATCGTTATGAAGTGTATGTTTGTGCGAATTTTGTTTCACAACATTGCTTTAAAAGATTGTAAGCCGTAAACCATAAGCGGTTATGTGACATTAATTTCTGTCTTTAAATTATTTTTTGCGAATTATTTAGATTTTAATCGTTACAATTAATCGAATTTGATAAACTCAATTTTTACGACTTAATAGCTTAAGTTCTCTGTCCGATATCGTCATTTACAACTTACGGCATCTTAAAGCATTTAAGATTGCGAATCTAGATTTGTGTTTTTTATACGATTACAAATCATACTGTTTAAAAATATACTCCCTTTTATGAGAACACAAGCATACGTATATTAATATAAAATGATGGAAATTTTCACACCTTTTATTAAAGCAAATTTTCAATAAAAGTTTATTTTACACAAAATCGATCAATAAATGGAGCACATTTTTAATTTAAATTCTTTATTTATTATTTGTATTACATATTATGTTTATATGTATTATTTATATTTTTTTAATATAAAGTTTCATATTGTCTTGATTGGACATAACGTTAGAAATGAACGTAAAAATAATTTAAAATATTCATATAAATATTTTATTTTATTTAGTACTAAAGACCGTTAATGTCAGAACATAACTAATACAAATACGATGCCAATAACAATCTAGCTCGAATCTTTTAATCGCTTACATATAAACTATCGCGATACTATCACGAGTTAAATTAAGTTAATAATTAACTAATATACGTAGTCCCACCAAATTGCGCGCCGAACAATCATCGGTCTTGAAACGCAACTCTAGTAATCTGAAAATACTAAATATGGAAAATTATTCTTATTGCAAAAAATTTATCTCGGCCGCTAGTCGAACTCTGATACCTTGCTTTACTCGCAAATGTCCTAGCCAATTAGACTACCGAAGCCTTAGTAACATTCCTCGCAATAACAGGTATATGTGTGAAATGATAAACACTTTCTTTCAGGCGCGTAAATAAACAATATTCAATACTAAAGACCGTTAATGTAAGAACTTAACTAATACAAATACGAAGCCTATAACAGTCTAGCTTGCATCTTTTAATTGCTTACATATAAACTACAGCGGTTGTATCACAAATTAAATTAAATTAATAATTAATTAATATACGTAGTCCCCTCTCAAATTGCGCGTCGAACAATCGTCTTGAATCGCAACTCTAATAATCTGAAAATATTACTAAATCTGGAAAATTATACTTATTGTGAAAAATTTTATTTTACAACAAATTAATACGAATACAAAGCCTATAACAGTCTATTTTGGATTTTTAGTTGCTTATATATAATTTTCCGTGAATTTATATACTAATATGTGTAATCTTTGAGTGCCGAACGATTGTCGGTTTTGACTTTTGAAACACCAGATTACTGGCCGTATCGACCTCCTATTATATTGTTTGGAGGCAGGTGCCATTAACCAAAGAAGAAAAGAAGAAGGTTTTGAAACGCAACTCTAATAAACTACCGCTGTACTATCACGAATTAAATTGATTAACAATTTAATAATTAGTTGATGCTCTTTTGGCATTTTATATCGATGTTAAACTATATTAAAATCTGAAAATAATTATTTTTCTAATTGCGAAAAATATTACCTCGGCTAGGAGAGAAGTTGAACCTGGATCGCTTGTTTTACACGCAAGTGCCAATTAGACTACCGAGGCCTTAGCAAAATTCCTCGCAATAATTGGTATATATGAAATGACGAACGTTTTTATTTTACCTTCTTTTCGAGTTACAAACGTTTGGTACGTGATTCACTATAATTCTCTTGTTACAATTTCAGCAATCATCATTACACATCCTCACGTTCACGCATCTCATTACTGACTGTCAGTATATAAACACATCTTTCCTGACATAACGAACACGCAGTTCTGTCACAATAATACACGGAGACGTTTTTATTTAGTTAACAATGTCAAATACGACACATGGATTTGTTGTGCCTTGAATTTTTTCAGACTGTACATCTATATATATTATAAAACATACAATTATTATATACTTTGTATATATATATTTATATACTGAAGATTTGTTCATGTACTTCAAGCATACAGCAAATAAAAATGACTATTAAATTGTAGAATTTATTTTAAATATCAGTTTAGTGCAGCATATGTTATTCTTATTTCTGCTTTTAAAACAACATGTCATATTTGCTGATTTACTTGGCTATTCACGTTTTACGTGATACATATTCATAAAACAAACATCAGAAATTATATGTGAATGATTATTGTAAATTGTAAAATATTATCTTATTATATATTAATATTTTATATTTTAATTGAAGAATTAAAGAACTCTTTTTATAAACAATAACTAATACGTTGAAAATGGCGAATAAGAGTCAATCTAAATCTGATAATATATTCTAATATTCTATATTGCGAAGAATATCACGTAATGTTTGGCGTTTCGTCCCGGCTTCCACTACTGGACTCATCAGTAAGGTATTGTAGTGGAAGCCTACCTTAGACGCCGGTGTAAGTTATTAAATCGAGATTCTATATAAAGAGATATACGCGTGTCTCAGCACTTGCGAGAATTTGCGAATATCGATAGACCTCTGATGGCGGGTCGACGTAGTAATATTCTTCGCAATATTTATCCAAAGTGAGAAATAACGAAAAAAAAATTTTATTATAATAATATTATTATAATAATATTTTATAAATATGCGTATTCCAACTTAGAATACTCTTACGGAATGATGCTTGAAATGTCATTTCTTATGACACCCGGTCGAGATAATGTTCTTCATAACAAATTTATTTACAGATATTTAATTTTTTTTTTAATTTTCTTAAAATGATGCACATTGTGCACGAAATTATTAAATATATGTACCTAGCAAAGCTCATACGTTAATTAATAATGTAAATAATGTAGTCAAACTCATTAAGATGTTTGCATATACATACATATAATAGATATAGTAAGAATGATTTTTTTATATATTTACACGGAAAGAAATATTGTACAAATTTTTTTTTTTCAATTTTATTGTAGTATTATATTATTTTTTAAATTTTATATTATATTTTTACCGTATATATAAACAATATATTAGCATTATACGTGTATGTTACATTACAATGATATTATTTGAATATTCTAATGTTGCAATTAATTGAATAACTCATTAACCCTACAGCTATTATTTGAGTTATGCAGTATTACTGTTATTAAATTTTGCTGACAAGAA